ATCAGTCCCAACCTTCCTTTTGTGGTATTGAACCTTATGGTAAAATTTCATAGAGATCCATTCACTTAAACTAAAGTTAGAGTGCGAAAACCAATGTGTATTCGGACGACGCAGGACGACGCCAGACGACGACGACGACGTCGACGCCAACGTCATACCAATATACGACCGCAAAATTTTTTACGGTCGTATAAAAAAACTTGATATTTAGAAGAAAATAAAAATTTTGCAATTTTTTCCATTTATAAAGGGGCATAACTCTAGAACGGTTAAAGTGACGCCACCAAAATTCAAACTTGATCTGTGTTTTGTGGTAATAAGCCTTGTGTATAAGTTTCATAACATTTGGTTGAGGCAAACTTAAGTTAGAGGACAGAAACTAAAAATTTTGCAATTTTTCCATTTATAAAGGGGCATAACTCTAGAACGGTTGAAATGACGCGACCAAAATTCAAACTTGATCTGTGTTTTGTGGTAATAAGCCTTGTGTATAAGTTTCATAACATTTGGTTGAGGCAAACTTAAGTTAGAGAATGGAAACAAAAAATTTTGCAATGTTTCCATTTATAAAGGGGCATAACTCTAGAACGGTTAAAGTGACGCCACCAAAATTCTAACTTGATCTGTGTTTTGTGGTAATAAGCATTGTGTATAAGTTTCATAACATTTGGTTGAGGCAAACTCAAGTTAGAGAACGGAAACCAATTTTGGGACGTACGGACGTACGTACGTACGTACGTACGGACGTACGTACAGACGGACAAGGGTAAAACTTAATGCCCCCACCGCTACGGCGGGGGCATAAAAAGGAAAAAAAAATCCCCCCCCAATTTTTTGAAACCCCTTATGATTCATCAACCCCAAACTCAATCCCAGCCTTCCCTTTGTGGTATGGTACCTTGCAGTACAATTTCAGAGAGATCCATACACTTGAACACAAGTTATTGTCTGGAAACTAGAAAAATGCTTCTTTTTTGGCCCCTTTTTGGCCCCAAATTCCTAAACGTTTAGGGCAATTACCCCCAAACTCAAACCCAGCTTTCCCTTTGTGATATGGAACCTTGCAGTACAGTTTCATAAAGATCCATACACTTACACACAAGTTATTGTCCTGAAACTAGAAAAATGCTAGTTTTTTTTCCCTTTTACAGCCCCTAATTCCTAAAATTTTGAGGGAATTACCCCCAAAATCAATCCCAGCCTTCCCTTTGTGGTATGGTACCTTGCAGTACAATTTCAGAGAGATCCATACACTTGAACACAAGTTATTGTCTGGAAACTAGAAAAATGCTTATTTTTGGCCCCTTTTTGGCCCCTTATTCCTAAACTTTTTGGGCAATGACCCCCAAACTCAATTCCAGCTCTCCCTTTGTGATATGGAACCTTGTAGTACAATTTCATAAAGATTCATACACTTACACACAAGTTATTGTCATGAAACTAGAAAAATGCTTGTTTTTGCCCCTTTTTGGCCCCTAATTCCTAAAATTTTGAGGCAGTTACCCCCAAAATCAATCCCAGCATTCCCTTTGTGATATGGAACCTTGTGATTCAATGTCAGAGAGATCCATACACTTTCACACAAGTTTTTGTCATGAAACTAGAAAAATGCTTGTTTTTTGCCCCTTTTTTGCCCCTAGTTCCTAAAATTTGAAGGCAATTACCCCCAAAATCAATCCCAGCATTCCCTTTGTGAGATGGAACCTTGTGGTACAATGTCAGAGAGATCCATACACTTTATGCTTATTTTTGACCCCTTTTTGGCCCCTAATTCCTTAACTGTTGGTACCATAACCCCCAAAATCAATCCTTATGGTAAAATTTCATAGAGATCCATTCACTTAAACTAAAGTTAGAGTGCGAAAACTAATGTGTCTTCGGACGACGACAACAACGATGACGACGACGACGCCAACGTCATACCAATATACAACCACAAAATTTTTTTTGCGGTCGTATAACAAAAAGCACATCAATGACGTCTTTGTGTGTGATATTTAGACTTTTCAATTTCTAACCAAAAAAAAGTCTTTAAGATAATTCATTGATAGCTCAAGAAATCAATAATTTTATATTTAGGAATTTCCTAAGGTTTAAAAACATGTGGGTGAGGTAAATCTCACAGTTTGTTTGGAGAGGTGTGTAATAGTTTTTGTTGCTCTCACTACCCCATCCTTTCTTTTTTAAAATAAAAAATTTAAAAGTCTTTATTAATGCCAGAAATATTATTTTTCAAACTTCATTTGAAAGTTTATTTCATGTCAAATTTAATCTTACACCTGCAATCTTACATTCCCCCTATAAAATACATGATACTGCCACTGCTATCAACAAAACATTTTGTATCTTCTGTCATGTACTTTAAAACTAGTGATAGAAAGTCAAAACACCTCAACAGCTTATAAAACTAATTCAAGGAAGCCAACAAGATTCAAAAAATAAACTGACAATTTTATGGGATCTTATTTACTGACTAAAAATCTTGCATGATCCCTAAAGACCAAAACATCATGAAAATTGACATTTGATATCATAATATTCCCATGAAAATGATGCCCACATACAAAGCAAATTTATGTTTTAATTATAAAAATTACCAACTAACAGAAAAATAAATTGTTTGAAGTCAAACCCATGCTACAATGGAAGTTAATAAATAAACTCCAATGAAAAAAAGCACCAATGCTCAAGTGAAATCAACCAATACTAGTATTTGTGTATGCTATACTGAGTGCAAATAAGTAAAATCCAACAAAAAAAAGCATCCATGCTCTAGTGAAATAAACCAATTGGCACTCAGTATAAAGTGTATGCTATACTGAACACCTGTAAAAAAATTCCAATGAAAATAAGAGCAAATGCTCAAATGAAACCATGAACAAGAATGTGTTCATAGTACACGGATGCCCCACTCACACTATCATTTTCTATGTTCAGTGGTCAGTGATATTGCGGTCAAAACTCTAATTTGGCATTAAAATTAGAAAGATCATTTCATAGGGAATATGTGTACTAAGTGTCAAGTTGATTGGACTTCAACTTCATCAAAAACTACCATGACCAAAAACTTTAACCTGAAGCGGAACAGACTGACGAACGGCGGATGAACAAACGGACAAACGAACGAACAAACGAACGGACGCACAGACCGAAAAACATCATGCCCCTCTACTATCGTAGGTGGGGCAAAAAAATAACAGATCAACTCCAATGAAAATTAACAAATCAAACTCCAATGAAAATTAACAAATCAACTCCAATGAAAATATTGCCAAATCCTAAAAAAACTACTTGTAACAAAAGGTACGTCATAAGCTCAACAGAAAGCAAACAAACAACTAGCAAATGTAATTGATGAAAATTTAAATGGAATTCAAATTAAATTAACCAACATTAAGTTTTTGTAACATGAGATATGACCATTGAAAGAGTATTTTAAATTAATTTATGTAATTACATCTATAAATGGTAATTGCAGCTTACAATAAATTGTTGACACAGAGATATGTCTCCTTTTTGTAATTTTGATAGCATAATGCAAACATTGAAATAAAAATGGCAATATTTAAACATAACATTCAAAGTCAATGAACCATTACTGAAGGTGCAAGGCCAAATAAATTCCATGGAAATGAGAAATGCCAATGCTTATAAAATTGCATACTGTAAACCAACTTATTTTCGCGGATACTTTATTTTGTGTTTTGCCCTTTCTAGTCCACTTCCAGGCTATTTAATTTCGTGATTTTCTAATTTACTTGATGTAGTTAAATAAGGAAAGATCAAAGTTTTACATATTTGCGATGATTTATATTCGAATTATTTTTCTACTTGCGAAAGTCGCGTAAATAAATCGCTCGCGATAATTAGTTGGTTTATAGTATTAAATACCATTGACTTATCATAAGTGGTTCCCTTTAACTAGCCTAAAAACAATCTAACTTGTAAACTATGCAAAAGTTCCATAGTAAATGAGTCATGATCAGGCGGTGGGGTCATATAATCTCGATGGAAATGAGACTTGCAAATGCTAATGTAAATGCACACCAAATATCATTAACTTAACTTGAGGGGTTCATCTTAAACTCAGATCTAATCACAAACTTTACATGCAAACTATATAAAACATTTAAAGGTCAACAGACCATGGCTGAGGGAGTGACAACAGGTTATATCCATGGAAATGAGATGTGCCAATGCTACTACACCTGATCACCAAATATCATTGACCTACCCCTAATGATTCCCCATAAACTGACCTAATAACAAACACAACACATATTTGACGTCACCAATGACAAAACCGAAAAAAGCAACCCTATGCTTAACTTTTTTAAACTTTGTAAAATGGAGACAAAAAACTATATCAGATTTATAAAATTCACAACAAAGGATCTATGTTGATTTCATACTTGTTGATTTGTTAATAAAATCTTTAAAGGTTTTTGCCCATGGTTTTAACACATTAGCACCTGTCAACTCCACATTGGTCCTTATGTGGTATATAAGTGTTAAGGTACTAATGGAAGCAGAAAATAAACATATGAGATGTGGTATATAAGTGTTAAGGTACTAATGAAGCAGAAAATAAACATACGAGATTTATAGAGCTTAAGAAACAGATTAAACCCAGTAAATAACAATTACACAGTGTTCTAGAAAACTAGCTGCCTTGTTGGTCCAGGCCACCAAAAAACAATTTTGAATGTACTGGTAGTGGTGGTCCTGATATTTAACTTAAAAGTTTGTGTTGGTTTGATTCTTATTTTAGGCTGTCTGGTATTTAGTACATGTACATAGTTCTTGATTACGATGTATATCTATATTTGTCATTGATATGGAAACATATAATTATTGTGAAGATTTGCCTACTCTTATTTTTAGATAATTAGAAATAAGTGATTGCAAAAATTTTCTGCAAATTCAGGACCACCAAATCTGTAGTATTGGTGGTATAAAAAACATTTTCAAGCTCTGGTTACCTGTGGTATGGAAATTACCTTGTAAGAAGCAGATTTTAGGTTGACACTTCTTCCTTTAGTCGTGAGTGTACACTTCATACGAAGAAACAGCGACTTCTTCTTGTTGGTGGTCTTGTGGGACAAGAGATCTACTATCTCATCATGGTCACAGGGATGAAGAAACTCTAGTAAACTCTGCCCTATTAAGTCAATCTAAAAGTATAATGAATACAGAGTTTAAAGGGATGAAGAAACTTTAGCAGACGGCAAGCTACTAAAGCAATCGGATGTATAACAAATAAAATCACTTTGACAGAGGAATTTGAACAGACTTTGGCCTCTCAAATCAAACATAAATAATCCTAATGGAAATGTTTCTAATAGAAAAGATGAAATATAATGTATGAGGGTCTGGATGGGGGGGGGTTCTTCATTTCTGTATTCTTTAATTTTTAAGGTCATTTTTCTCTATTCTTTATATTTTTTGCCCATTATTATGAATTTTTCTTATTATTGCTGAGTTTTTCTTATGTTTGTTTTGTGTCTGTATTGCTATGACCAAAATTGGTTTTTGTTTGTTTTGCAATAAAGAATTTTTATTTTTTTTATAATTCTCTATTCTGTAAATCCCTATCCACACCCTCATATATTAATTGATGACATGAATCCTTACATGCAATGACAAAACCAAAAGAACAGGAAAGAAGTGTTTATAAATCATTGCATCTCATGTACAGAATACATCTGTAGACTTGATTTATCTAAAGTTTATCAAAATTGTGAAAATATATACCAAGAAGCTTATTTGTTATCAAAACTCTTTTCAGAATTTTTTTTCTAACTGCTAATTAACTTTTAAAAAGAATATCAATGGTATCTATTTCGTTTTCACTAGGGATTACACATTTGCCAAATAAAACACAGATGGTAATTTCTTTCTATGTCAATATACAGTTATTACCTGTGAAATGCCCAGGTATTTAGCAACACTCTCTGATACGAAAATGATATCAACATCTGATGATAAGATAATGACAAATCCTTCTAATGCTTTCATCCACAAATGATCTGTTTTCTCATCTTAAACAAAAATGTAAAAAAATTAGGAAAATCAGGGACTGCAGATTCATTCGTTTTGTGGATACTCATTCATGTTGATTGTGAACAATTGTATTGTTGAGAATTAAAGATTTTGTGGTTTAAACAAATCTTGTACACAAGCGTATAAATAAATATCTATAGTGATAAACGCTGAAATTGATGGCTCACCAAGATCGTGGGCCTTTACCCAACAGTATGTTAATTACAACCTTTCATGAAAGGGGCGAAATGGTACATGTATTGTAATAAGGGCTACTATCTGGCCACTGAAATTTCAAAAATGGTTAAATTCTTCCACCCAATCCTTTTACATTATATCATTTTTATCGATTAATGAATAAAATGATATAATTGTGACACTTCAGTGAATAAATGTTAGTTTTGATGTCATAAAAACACTTATATTTGACCTTTCACACATAGTTTTTGATACTCTCTTGTGAACATGTCAATGTATTTCTAAAAAATTTAATGCACTTTTTAAAAAATTTTATGTCAAGAGGCCCAAAAAGTGATTAAATATTTTCATACCTATAGTCCTTTGACCTTAGCAGTGTAACATATATATGATAAAAGATCTAATATTTAAACTAATAAAAATTCAGACTTTTCTTTATTTTGGCTAACATGTTACTCACACAGACAAATCAAAAGAATTTAAAAACAAACATAAAATAAAAACAGTATTTTTTTTTTAGTTTAGCCTTCACTAGATAACACTGACGTAGACAAATCAGAAAAAAAGTTAAGACAGGTATTTTGAAAAAGGAACTGTTGCTAGCCTGATAACCTTTTCTACAAAAAACTATTTGTTTTGAAAATCTTTTAACAGCATCTAAGAACCTTTGAAGAGATATCACCCTTTTTCTTTAACTATTTCATTTTTTTGAAAATAGGCTGTCTAGAAAATTATATCTCATATGGAAATCAGCAATCAGAATTCAAAAGAGATAAAATCTATATAGTTTATTCTTGTATTAATGAATAAGTTTTCTTGTTGGGGGTTCAAAAACTGACATTTCTTATCGTTATTTTTCAAAAAAAATTTAGCTGGTGACATCCTAACATATTCTTTCCATTCCAATTAATTTGATTGGCATATATGCTTTTATCAATCATACCTATTAGCAGAAGATAGGATTAAAGGTAATTTTATAAGGATATACTGATCTTTCCAAAACACTTGACATCTCTCCACATTTCAACAGGAATAAATATTGCCAAAGCTATATTTTATGTGTTGCCTTACTTGTTACTTTAACAGTTTATATTTTTTTGTGATTTTCTTGCCTTTTTTTTTTTTTAGGATGTCTAAGCCTGGAATTCACCATTACATTGCACACTTTCTTTGACTGGAAAAAATGTATATCTAATCAACAGTGTTTTTTTTTTAAATTTGGGGTACAATAAAACTACCCAAAATCCGTTAGATTCTGGAATGGCAAATTATCCAAAGCATTTTTAACAGTTTGATTTTTCCTTGCTAAACAGTTGCTTAGACACATTTCTAGTCTGTAGTAAGCCCATAGGCTACGTCCCTTGCATCACTTGTATTCTTAATCTGTCTCCTATACAAATTCTATGAGAAAATGATAACTGCATCACTTTCTCAAAATAAATAATGACCTTTGGAATTTCATATCTATTAACCACAGAACCATCAAAGTTATGATCCCAAACATTTATAGAAAAGGGTAGATGGTCATATTTGATAAATATACCAAAATAAACATTAAACCTTTGAGATAATCAATATGTCATTTATCATTGTTGAAGAATATGATGAATTCTAAAGTGCTAATAAAAGAAATATTAATTTTTGCAATAAACTTTAAAATACAAATTTTCAAATCGATATTGACAAAGAGAGGAGAGATGGTATAAGGAACATAATATCAAAAGCAATAAATTTCTTAGTGATAAATATGATTTGGCCCATTTCATTTTATTCGTGACATAAAAAAATACTAAACTATTTTTCAAAACTCAAAATAACAAGAGACTGAAGATTAAATGTAAACCCGTTAACACTAATTACATAATATTAATACTATTACCGGTTTTTAACCTTGAGGTTACATGTACTTTACATTAAATAATTTCCTGTTTTGCATTTTCTTTTATCTAAATGAAAACTACAATTACTGTGTGTTTTATATGTCCCTTTAAGTTAAGGACATTTTACCTTCATCATTTGCTTTTTCTATGATTTTCGCCAATTTTAGATGACTGATGGCAATTCTCATGACTGAGGATTTGTCTAGCTGAGCCTGGACATTACTAGGAACAGGAAGGGCATTACATAACTGAGAAAATATCTCAGCTTCCTGGCTCCTACGATTTCTAGCTGCATCTCTTGACTTTTCCTTTCTTTTCTCAGAACTCCTATAAAGAAAAAAAAAAAAAAAAAAAATTTAATGCATGTTTAATTTTTCATATTTCAAAGGAAAACTTGTGTACTATAAAATTATGTTGTAATCTCAGTGTTCTCATTAATGATGTCTGAACCAATCAAAATTAAACATCCAAAACAGTTATATTCCCATTGTCATGATTGTGCAACAACAACAAATTTGTCCATTTCAAGTACATGTATAGGTACATGTAGAAACGTTTAAAACAGCTACAAGATTGTCAATCTCTCACAAAAAAAACACCTATCCATTACTTTTAGTACATGATATTAAAGCTATTCCAAGAAAATTTTCTGAGGGTAACAACTATAACCAGTAGTTATTCAAATCTGACAGTAGACCATATTGCAAAATTCTTTACATTTTTTCTGGTTGTCTGCATTGACTAAAAACTAAGATAAAACCTTAAATTTGATTGAATTATGATATGTTGTTGACTAATTTTACTTTAGGGTCATGGAAATCCTGTCTAGTTGTCTCTGTGAATTTGTCTTTTCACAAATTGATTAATTTTTTTTTCTTTTCTTCAATGAATCAGTTACAACCCTACATTGTAAGTTTAAGTAAATATTAACAAAAAATACTGTATTTAGATCAATATTAAGTGTTTAAAATGCCATAACATCCAAAATGGAGAAGAGATTTGGGGTGCATGAGGCAATATCCGATCCATGTATATCAACACTTTATTCAGCATCTGAATTCTGGACAAATTCTGGAATAAAGAAAAGTTTCTCAACAGTGAAGCAGTGTTCTGCCTAACCAAATATTTCTCCTTTCATCTACTTGTATCATTTTCCCCCTGTCAAATGGATCTTTTTACAAAAATACACCTGTAAAAGATCACTTCTTACCTATGCATACCAACACAATGATTTTTGTTACAGAAGTCTTTACAATATACCTAATTACATGTATAATATCTTTGTGTTTAGTCAAAATTATGTAGATACTGATGTTATGCCTGGTATCTTTGATGAACTTTATAGAATACTGTGGATTCATTTATTTTTCGTGGGTACCAATTTTCGTGGATTGAGGAAAACTTGCATTTTCGTGGATATTTGATTTCGTGGTTTTCCAAAATTCTCCATTTAATCATACAGCAAATTTGCAATTCGTTGAACATTTAAATTCGTGGTTTCCATGTACCCACGAATTGAATTATTCCACGAAAATTGGTATCCAACGAAAAATAATGAATCCACAGTACATGTGCATGGTCAAGAAAACTAATTCAAAAATTTTACTTTCACGATCGCAACTTATCAACCGAGACTCAACATCTCAACATGTGTTATTCTTAAATAGACTACTACAGGACAGATAAAAAATCAAACAAATTCTCAAAAAATGTCTCAGTAGCAGTATACTGTATTAATAGGACAGATTGAACCATTCCTACCGAAGGTCAGTGGTTCTCTCAGAACACTTCGCTTCCTCCACCAATAAAAACTGTCTGCCACGAAATAGCCAATAGGGCTGCAAGTGGCTTTGAACACCAAAAATCAATTAGATTGTACCAAATATTTTCATTGTAATATAGACAAGAACATAAAATAATATGTTCTCATTGATTTGAAACAACCAATAGATAACGCATCTCATTTTCTTATATTTTTAAATCAAAAATTTTGGGAAGCTCGTAAGTAAAAAAATTCACATGAAAACACTTCATACTATTTGACACTAGTATGCAGTTGATAGACACATTTTACTAAACTAAGAGCCTACTATGTAGTTGACAGACACATTTTACTAAACTAAGAGCCTACTCTTTCCTCTAACACCTCAATGTGGTATGCGTAGTAAAAACACAGTGAATATCAGGTTGTTTTTTTTTGGATTTTGTAAAAAATAAAAAATTCAACCCATTGGTGGCCTTCGGCTGTTGTCTGCTCTATGGTTGGGTTGTTGTCTCTTTGACACATTCCCCATTTCCATTCTCAATTTTATAAATTATCCTGTAATCAAAGCAATGCAACTACATTTGTACTACAAGGCCATAAAACAATTATCCAAATCCATATATGGAACAAAATAAGTTAAACATTTCGACTGAGGATCACTGTGTTATATACCGGTAATGTTAACGCAAAAAATGCATAAAAAAATCTGAACTATTGCCATTTTATCTCAATTATTTACCTAGAACAAATTGTCTTTTTTTTAAATTATGTCCTTGAAAACTGTTAAAAAATGTAAACAAAAACATCTTTTGTTTATGTATGCACAATACATGATATAACTTCCTGGCTTTGTACTTAACATATTTAAAATGTAAATGAAATAATGAGTGTATATCATGTATATATTAGGGCAAATATTCAGAATTGACGGAAAAGGGATATTTATCTTATGCAAGTCTGGTACATGTTGATCTTCAATGCAATATGTATTATTAGACTGAAAATTCAACTTCGAAGACGACATGAACCAATTCCCAATTTTGGCACTTAAATTAACTTTAACTTAATGTATTTCAATATAAAATAACCTGACCAATGTAATTAGTGGAATAGGACTGCAAACTCTTCTGGAGTAACTACCAGTTTTTGGTGGGGTTCATATTGTTTGATCTTTAGTTTTCTGTATAGTGTACCGACTTGGCTGTTTCGTGGTAGTGTGTTCGGCTTGAGTGTGGGAGGACATGGGTTCGAACCATGGCCGGGTCAAACCAAAGACTTTAAAATTGGTATTTGCTGCTTCTCCACTAAGCACGCGTCATTAAGGAGTAAGAGTAAAGACTGGTCCGCTCGGATTAGAATAATGTGTCTGGGTAGACATTTCTTCCTGCTGACTGTTACCTTGTGAACTACCACGTTAAAAATCCAGCTCAGTGTATCAGTCTAGTACAAAGCAGGGTTAATATTCATATTACATTAACATATTCTTGTCCTGAATATGCATATTAATTTGCTGCTGGACGATAAGCAGCCATTCATCATCCTCATTTCTGTAGTGTGTTGTGAACTGTTGAACCTTTGTCTTTTTTGTTTGTTTGTATTTTTTGTCATGGTTTTGTCTGTCCTTCTTCTTTTGATTGACCTTTTTTGTCACTTGTTCACCAAATTAGTCCTTTCTATCATGTCCACATTGCTATAGACCCAATCAAGTTCAAGTTAAAAACAAGAGTACAAGGAGTCACCAATTTCTCTGGACAACCACCAACCCTTAAGATGCTTTTTAATCTAAGAAAGTGTACCATAATTTAGTTTTTAGATTTCAGAGGCCAATTAATTAACTTTTACTACACACATCCTATAGACATTTTGTGTACTAGTATTAATTTTGTTTCATGACATTGTCATGCCATTTAGATCTTGCCCCTTGACTGCTACATTACTTATGTAAAAATTCTTCAACAATATTTTCCATGTAATTGATCATACCATATATACAAACAAATGACAAATCAGCCTACCATATATATACATAATTCTCAATGAAATCTACATTACAAACAGGTACAAGTTCACAGTTTTCTGACATACAGTATATTTCAATCAAAGGTTTACAATCTTTACTTTATTCTTTTTCAACAGTTTTGAACACTAAGGATACTATCTTTTAAATAAATATATATATATATATTTCGGAGCTTTTTTTTCTTTCTTACTTTGGTATTTGTACTTGAAGTGTCAGTACAGAAAAGAGTTCATGATATGGACTAGTTTTTAACCAAAAGTTCAACTTCTCAGCACAAAGTTATTTTAATTTTTTGTTCACACCACAAAAATTATGAATGCAACTTTACATGAATGTATGACGAACAATACTGTCTGGAATAACTGTTAAATAAAACCAGAAAAAAAGAGCCAATTGAAAATGATTGTGATGTAACATTTTTACGTCATACTTCTAATAATTCCGTTCCTGATCAATCAAACAGTTTCCTCATGTAGATTGGTGAAGACACATTCTGTATGTGCTTTTTACAGTGAATTAAACAAGGACAGAAAAACGTTCATTTTTGAAGTTTAAGTCTTTTATTTGATTGGATTGTCTGTTTTTTCTTTTCTTTCACAATGCATATATACATACAATGTAGCAGAGGTTTTACCCAAAGTTCAACATTTTAGCACGATTTGATTCCTGTGATTATTTCGAATGCAATTGTGTACATGATCTACAACATGCAATTAATTTTGAAAACCTCAATAAATACATGTGTACAATGATATTCATTGTACACATTTTGACAGTAACACCAGCTTTTGATTTAATATCTTGTGCAATTACATGTTTTAATAATTGATTCATAAGAAAATATTTCCGTAAGAAATTTCCATTCCTTGTTGTAAGTATAATCAAAGGAGATGTGGGATGAATGTCAATGAGACAGCTACCAAACAATACAAGTTAACCAATATCTATCTCTCCAGGAGATGTGGGTTGAATGTCAGAGACAGCTACCAAACAATACAAGTTAACCAATAGATATCTATCCAGGAGATGTGGGATGAATGTCAATGAGATAGCTACCAAACAATACAAGTTAACCAATAGATATCTCTCCAGGAGATGTGGGATGAATGTCAATGATTTGATTTGATTTTTTTGTGTTTTTAACGCCACTTTTTTAAGCACTGCTTTTGGGCTATTTCGTGGCGGCCAGTTTTTATTGGTGGAGGAAGCCGGAGTGCCCTGAGAAAACCACCGACCTTCGATAGGATAACTGAAAATCCTAGTCAATTAAGATTGGAGTCGAGTGCATCCGCACGAGCGGGTTTCGAACTCACAACCTCAGTGTTGACTGGCTAGTGATTACAGTAGTAACTACTTAGACCACTCGGCCACCGAGGCCCCTGAATGTCAATAAGACAGCTACCAAAAATATAAGTTAACCAATAGATATCTCTCCAGATGTGGGATGAATGTCAATAAGACAGCTACCAAACAATATAAGTTAACCAATAAATATCTATCCAGGAGATGTGGGATGAATGTCAATGAGACAGCTACCAAACA